CTTGAAGGAAAGTGGACATGGATTTCATAATAGGCGAAAATGTGAATGGTAAAAAGTCTAGCACCAAGGCATTAAGCAACTGAAACAATGGACCCTCTCATCTATACCACTAATATCAAGGTCTAAGAAATACAAATCAAAATTTAGTGTTAGTCATGGTGTCTCACCAACACCCAGACCCGAGTAAGCTCACTGACCCTATTAAATGAAGAGTAAACTGTGCTTATGGAGTACTGTGCAATAGTAACATATATTAATATTGTACATTTTCCTTTTCAGCTTATCTGAGGGAAATCTATGGCCAGTTCTAGATAAATGGGGGGTGGGGGGTGTTACCACCCAGATTGTAAATTTTAGATTTCAAGATCTAAATTTAGATTTACTAGCATACAGAATATACTTTTAACAGATTATAGAGCTAACACTAATGTCTGTGGATCCAAAATACCCCTAAGAAACCATGATCTGAGTGGAGGTCATGATGGTAATGTAATGAATGAGATTTTGTCCTGAGCCCACATTACAACTGGCACATTGATGCCGCCATTCAATTCTTTATTTCACCAGTCATAGGTGTATACTTGGAAGATTTCCTCTTCAACTCTAAAACATCTCTTTGTCTCTGAGCCCCATGCAGTAAAAGCTGTGAAACTACAGTAATGACCAAACTAAATTAAATCATAGAGCTTCCTCTTTTTACTCTTCCTCCCACCAAAAGGAGTAAACACACATATCTAGTGGATCTGTGGGGGATGCAGCAGTTAGTGCCACCATAAAAATATATATATATAAAAGTAAAAATATTGAGTATTACCTATGCAAATTTAAATTACCTTGTTCAGTCTGTATAGAAGACAAACTAATCTTGGTAAACAACAATATATTTAATGTAGTGGTGATTACAAAGATAGCCAGTAAGTTCTCTCCACGGAAGAAAGTCAACAAAGACCCTCAGAATTATCATAGCAATGACTGAGCAAGTGACAATGAACTTACTTTTCAACACCTCAATAAACAGAGATCAACAGAAAATGTTTGCTTCCCTCTTCTCAGAAACACTTGTGTGCTTTTACCATCAGCATTCTCTTAAATTTCCAACTCTATGGCATAATTTAGTTTCAGGAACCCTGGGCATTGCCACATCCTGTAAGACATCATTCTGAACAACCATGCAAATTGCATCAAATTGAAAGTACCTGAAATGGAATTATCATGCTCCCAGATACCTTTGGAAGAATCAAGAAATAAAACCTTTCAAAATAAAGGACTCACCTTTCTTAGTGATATTTCTGATAGCTGGGACAGGTTGGGACATTCCCTCCAAAGTGTTTGTTACACTTTGTAACTCATATCATGTTAATCTAGCCCTTTGATGAAAAAGTTGAAGAGTCTAAGACTAATTCAAAACAATTAAAATTTGATCTATTTTAGCTCAGAATTAGGATTCTGTACCTTGGCTTATTAAAGTAGGAATACTTTTCATTTTTTAGTTGGGATAAGTTTATTGTTCCTGGGGATAAAATACACATTTGATATATTAAAGAGTGTCATGATTTAGTTCTTGATTAAAGTATGCCCAGTGCAAAATTATTTTAAAGTAAAATCCTAAAAAATAAGTTTATAGAGGAATATGATAAATGCACACTTTTGTGAGCTGATAGTGAAACATTTAAAGTAACTGTTTTCAATGGGATTTTTAATTTTCATATTATGTTGACATATCACTCTCCATCTACCTATCCATCTATCCAGCAGTTATATTTTTGATGACCTACACTGGTAAGACAAAATAAGTGATAATACAATAGGAATGAACAATAGAAGTGTTGTCATGTAAATAATCTAAATGCATTTTTTGTAAAAAAAAATTTTATACATCAATTTTTCCAAATCACAAGAAACTTGAGGAGCTCCATGAACTTTATTCTTTTTCTAACTTTGAGCTTAATAAAATATGGTTTGTATATCCATGATTTTATCCACTTTGCAATTGGACTATTAAAGTTCTTTATATAATTTATGTATTCACATTTTTTTCTATCATTTCCCCTTCTCACACACAATATTCCTTTACCTTTTTGTAAATTACTTTTTCCCCCCTCAATTTTCCCATTTCATGTGTGTTTATATTTCTTGACAGTGATAATTCCCACAACAACTTTGCAATTCTTTGTCAATCTCGGTACTATTTGTTGAATTCTACAAGGCCCATCCCATAAATTCCAACTAACTGTAGTATTTAGCTTTCCTTAAAACTTCATCTTTTGACTTGACTATTAATTTACATGCAAAAACGTATCATTTGAATTCAGATGACTTCTCGCAAAAGCAAAATGCTAGACTCCATAATGATTTAATAGCTGGAAAAATGTCTTAAATGCTGTATAAACATCCATAAATTAATCATTTAATCACTATCCTCAGCACAAAATCATTATTTCTTTTTATAGACCGATCAGCCAGGGTTACCTAATCAATTTCAGTTTCTAGATTAATGTAAGATTCTTATCTTGAAAAATTACTGTTTTTTTCTTGTACATGTTGAACATAATTTTGAATCTGGGCTGTTCATATATCACATTGATGTCACTAATATAAATCAATCAGAAAATGACAGAACAAATTATAAACTTGAAACAAATAAATTAAGAAACAAATGCATTTCTCAAAAAACATTCCATAGAGATTGAAACTAAAGTTGAAATCTGTTAAAAGAAGTTTTGTATAAAAACCACCTATGGTCCAGATAACTTTCTGTAATTTAAGGCTGAGAAAATATTCAGAAATTAAATCCAACTACTGTAGCCCACTTTCTATAATGTTGGTTCTTGATAAATGTTCAGCACCATTGCATTAAATCTAAGAGTTACTTGAAGTCAATAATTTTTGTGAAATTGATATTTAGTTGGTCTGAAATGTCAGATGCTGCAAAAATCTCTATCTTGTTTTTATTTTTTTGGTAGGTTTGTAAGGATTTTACAGTATGTACACTCTGAAAACTTGGGGGAAAAACAGCAAATCAAAAGTCAACAAAGTTTCTGCTCTGAATACAAATGTTTGTTTTACATGATAGCCATGCCTTGAATAGCTGGATAAAAATTATTCTTTCTTGATATTTAAAGTATTTGTAGTTCAAAAAACATACTGTGCAGTCCTAACAGGCCAGTAAGTAAAAAAGACCTGGGGCAAATATTTATTAATAATATCATTTAAAAAATAGTTATCTAGTTCATCAGAGAAACATCATTCAAAGATGGTTAGGAAAGCTTAAATAATGTGCTCCCAGGGGATGACAACTCTTCATGATTGTTCAATATGCCTTCAGTATGTTAATGGAAGATTCACACTTAGAACCAAGTAAGTTTGAAAGATATTGCATATGAAGGTTGAAAGCCAAAGTTTAATCCCAGTATTTTTCTGATGTGAGAAGACAGTTGACATTCACAGAGCACTTGTGGAATCTAGATACTGTGATGAAAAATTAATGTATGCTAGTATGCCCAAAGCTGAGTCTATACTGAAGGAAAACCTAATTTTCACTAATTTTGTCTACCTCTTTTTCGAACTTTTATTAGTTCAACCTTAGGTTAGGAACTAAATGGAGTAAAATATAAAAATTTCACTGAGGAAAGTGGCATAGAGGTGTACAGTGTTTATTTATTTTTTTCCATGGGATTAAAAAAAGGCTGTGGATACATTCAACATGGATGAGAACATGAGTGCTTAGAATGATGCTTAGTGAATAATTCAAATATCTTTATATCCTCTGGGTTACTTTTGAATGTTCCTCTCAGTTTTATTAGTCAAAACAACTATGAACCCAATGATATGTGTTTTTCTTATTCTCAAGAGATAACCACTTCATTTACCTTGACACACCCAATAATTCAAATTATTTTGACCAAAACTTGATTACAGGCAACATTTTCTTGTCAATCAGATCATTCCACTACCTACAAACTTATACTAACATTACAGGAATTAAGTCTGACCTAATCCAGTCAAACACATCCCATCACACTATGAGTTCTACTGGCAAGATGTTTTCACCAAGCAAAGTCCACCTGAGGTACTTAAGGGGTGACCGGTTTATTCCCATGAACTGAGAGCTGAGGCCAAGGAATAGAAGGAACATTACATTTAAACCCCTTCCTACACAGGCACCTGTTATTGACAAAAACCAGTTATAAACTACTCATAGGCTTTGAATGGTTCTTGCCACATAATAGAATGAGTTATTAATTCACTCATAGCTTGATTTGTAGTTTACCAGACAAGAATTCCTCTATATGGATTTACTTAAAATTAAATATTTGAGCAGAAATTTTAGGGGAATTAGTCATTTAAGCAGCACTATTTTCCGTACTCCTTAATAATTACTCCTTAATATTTCCAAGTTCTTCATATGGAACATATGTATATTTTCATATGTATGGTTGTTGTACAATGGCTCACAGTTACTATAATTTTGATAAATGGATTTATCAAAGAAAAGTTGTCTTATGCATTTACAATAATAATAATAGAAATAATAAGAAAACCCTATTTTAATATGCAAAGAAAATTCAGATGTAGTGCCAAACTAATAAACCTGCCTTATTACATGCTAACTTAATTAAAGAAAAAACTTGAAGTGAATAAAACAACAAAAATGTAGATCTGAGCTATAATAATTGCACTGTTCAAAATTATGAGATAAAAATTTTTTTCACAAATGGATTTGAGCCATAAATATATTTTTTAATGAAAAAATTCAACTAAAGTCTATCTTTTGTTTTCTGTCCATGGATGTGTCTGCTACAAAACTTCAGCTTTTATTTGCCTAAAACTTAAAAAAAAAAAAAAAAAAGCATCTCAAGATGATTCATTCTACTCTAAGACCTAACTCTCTGGATAATGGGAAGTTCTTTTTCAGATCTCAGGCAACTTAGCCATGAGCTGGGGAGATAACTGACAGAGTGTGTCCTAAGGTACATGATTTGGTTGGGCATCACACTTACCTGCTTGATTTGTGGTTACATTTACAGACACATACTGCCGGGCTCCTGGGCTCAAGTCGGACACTCCATTCACTGCCTCAATCTCAAAGGTATAGTTTGTGTGAGCGAGCAGATCCACCACCATGACAGAGGTGTTTTTCAGGCCGATTTGCTGGGGGAGGTACCTGACATGACCGCCACACTCGTCACACACACCTGCATGGGAGTTGCACTTCTTGCATGCAATATAATATGACACATCTTTCCTTCCACCAGTGTCAGCAGGAGGAATCCATTCCAGAAAGACACTAGTTTCATTAACATTTGAGATGGCATTCCGAGGAGCTGAGGGGGGTCCTGGTTTGCAAAGTAAAGTGAAAAAAACAAATTTTGAGATGATAAAATTAGGCATTGGTTACTACACAAATTTCTGGTCTGAAGGAAAAAAAAATAGCTTTGCAATCATTGTTTTAAGCAGGGTAGAATGCAAGAATTATCAATTTGTAATCATCTTTGAAAAATCTTGTTATAGTTTTGTAGGGACAATAGTGGGGTTTAAATACTATAGAAATGACTTATCTTGGCAATGTAACAAGTTCAGTTAAAGAAGATGTTTTGCTTAGTGTATACATAAAGAACTATGGAATAAAACTGTGCATGCAAAAAATGTAGATAAAATTATGTATTCAAATAGTGGCAAGTTCTTTGGCAAGTCCAAGGAAAAATTCTCCTTGGGGATTGATGTGATTAAGTCCTCAATGATACTTGTTCCCTGAAAGCTAGGAATTAAACATGAAGGATTACTAAGCAATGAGTACAGGTAGAAAGAGGATTTATTAATGTGGCTGTTGACTACAAATTCTACAGAAAGTAAAAAGGAAAAACAAAAACAGCCTTAGTTTATCTCAAAGTAAGTTGCATATCTACTGATAAGCCACCAACAGAATTTGAAGCCTCCCTCATATGACAATAAAAAACTGGAATTTAAGTAGTTGATCAACATTACAAACTGTAATAAAATTTTGCTTACTTTGATATGGTTTTAACATTGTGGTTTGACAAAACTGTGCATTTTACTTAACTGAAAATCTAAAACTTATTTTAAAAATAATTCTCCAAAATACAATAAGAAGAAGAATGAATGTGTTCAGACCTTGAAAAATCAGCATAATAAATTTATATATAATATCAAATGCTATTCATGTATATAATACTGTATTTCTGAAATAACAGCAGACTAAAGAGAACTAAAATTGGTTACCTACCAATTGTAACCAATGCATTAATCTGGTAGGGGGTGTTGATAATGAGACAAGCCATGAATGTGTGCAGATGAGGGATATATGGGGAATCTCTATATCATCCTATCAATTTTGTTCTGAACCTAAAAATGCTCTAAAAATAGTGTCTACAAAAGAATTAACTGCATATTGTCTGACTCTAGAGTAGATTTGTAGAGACTCAGACCTACAGCTTCAGTCCGCTGTTAATATTATATGATCAGATGCTCTTGAAGAGAAAACACATTTTATTTGTTTCAGAATTACTTAGCAAGGATTTCCCAATAGGGAATAAAATGGACTATGAATGGTTCATAAGCATAAATTAACCTACTCAGGATGACATAGCTTAGTTATCTTAATATGTGCTGTCTGTTCTAAACATAGAAGTAAATATTAATTTCTACCTAACATTTATTAAGCCATGACTGCTGAGGACTAAATTTAAAAGTAATAAGAAAGCTACCTAGTATTCATAAAATGTCACTTAAAGAACTCCATAATGTAAAAATCACCAGTTTTGATTAAAAAATCTCTACCTTTGCTGTAGCTGTGGTTGAATCCTGTGAATTTTCCCATACAGTCTCACACACTCCAATATAAAAGTCACTTTTAAATTGAAACAAATACTTAAGATGGAAATACAACTCTTTTTACTATTGCCTTTAGCTTACTTAATAGTGGAAAATTATGGCAAAAATGTAATTTGAGATCAAAATGTTACAGGTTCCCTTGTGAGAAAAAGGTAAAATATACTTGGAATAGGTCTATTTCAGAAGATATCAAAATTCTGAGTTTTTTTTTCCTGCCAGTGTAACTATACCCACAGTTACCACCTTTCCTCTAAATCTGTAAAACTGTATCTTGGTCTAACTCTTCTTCTGACTCTGCTACCAGTAGGCCCTCAGCATGTGAGCTGGGGCACATATGCCTCTCAAAGTCAAAATGAAACTTATCTATTCAAGGGGAGCCCTAAAGAAGAGGTAATCAGTGAAGGCTCAGACTGAGATGCACTGAAAAATAACTTAATGACATTCCACCATCCTGCTAATACATCGTGATTTATGAACCCAAGTAGAGCTGGGACAGGCACCCTCAGTTTGAACAGATTCCTTAGAATCTGAATTTTGTTTGATTTTCTTTTCCTATAGGTTTGTTGCATTTGGTTTTCCAGAGTACCAGAAAAAATACTAAAAGAAGTTGAAACCATAAATTTAATACCAAAGAGCCACACAGACATAAATCAAGTGATCTTATCTGTTGAAGGGTATCATCATATGTGGTATTTGTGGTATTGTGAATGCAACTAAGAACAGAACACACACTCTCACAGACTATTCATTAGGACGATCTTCTACAGGACTCCCTGTCTTTTTTGAGAAATGCATACAAATGAGTGTTCCTCTGAGACACCGTATTAGAAATGCACACACCTGGATACAGAGAAAATATAAACCTCAGGTCCTAAACGAGAGCTAAGCAGTCCTTGGCACCAGAGCATGGGGTCTCACCCATTCCCAAACCTAGTAATTTTACAGAATGGGAGGCTCCTATTCATGCTGAGAAAGGGACTGATCATGGTTGGACTACTTAAAGAAAAGAATACCTATAAAATCGATGAAATTGAAATAAGTCAAGATATGATTTTCTCTAATTCACCAAAGTACAGTCGGCCAACATCTCCCCCCCCCACTATTTGGGCTTTACTTTGCTCTGAATAATTGAAACAATTTCCACTGCAACCAATATGCATCACATTCAATCACACTTTATATCTCCTCCATTCAAATGTATCCTCTTAAGAAAGGTGTACACTAATGTCATTTACCTATGTGAAGAGGAATTGTTTATAGTTAGTAACCATCTAACCCATAAAAGTATCAGAATGTGATAAAGAATGATCTTTAATAATGTGAAGTTAATATCAATGATTTGAGAAATAATGAATATACATTTCACTGACACTATGAAATTCAGGCACTGAAATTCAGATAAAATTTCAGTTGTGATTATTTAAGTAAAGAAACCATATGTCTTTATATATGATACCAGAGAGTACTAAATTTCAAAAAAATTGTCTTCATCTTTGATGGCAACTACAACCTATAGGGATCTAAAAGAGTACAAAATGGGACATCATGGAAAACGAATGGTAAGGGGAGTTGGGATTCACTATTCTTCCCTTTCATTTGTTTTTGTTTGATTTGCTATAGAGACAAAGATAGAAAAACTAAAGAAGTATTGTCATCAAGCAAACTAACATGTAAATTTGTTTCCTTCCCAGAAATATGTGGCACACTAGGAAAAAAAAAAAAAAAACACACCAAAACACTGACAGATATGGAGATACCCATTGCAAATGTTGGAATAAAATGTTCATTATTCATCTATTCTAAGATTATCTGACCATATACTTAATAATAATTAAGGACACTCACTGCTAAAAAATACAACCACTTGAACATCCTAGTAGACAGCTGGTTTTATATTTGACTCTTAATTTGATTTGCTAGCCCTCAGCACTCCATGTGCGTTTAAGTGTTTCCTGTCTTATAAATGATCTTCTTTTTGTTCTTTGTAGCTTACTGGGGCAGGTTACAATAAGAATATAGAAGTACCATGTACTGGATATTTTTGTGATCAGAAAGTTGGCTTGCAAGAAGAGGAAAAAAAAAAAAAAACCGGTTTACCAGGAACAGGGGAATGGATTTGTCAAAGTCATGCTTGGCCACCATGAGCACTCAAATAAATCATAAAGTGAAAAAAAAAAATTGTATTTGTGGTCCAGATGTTGAACTTGAAATAAGGGAAAACGGATGCTTCCCACTGTAAATGATAAAAGAATTGAATTTCTTAATGTTTACTCAAGAAGATTGGATTCTGGTGAAATCCTATATTGGCAAATTAAACATTATGCCTGTTTTAGTGGAAACAGTAATAGAATGTAACAGGCTCCATCATGCTATTTCTTCAAACTGGTGAAGGTTAGCATCACCAAAGATCCATGGGTTTCCTTACTTGTGCATGCCATTGTGGGTGGATCAGACTCCCTCCTGAAATAATCCTTTTCACAGACACAAGAGGTTGAAGCTTCCTCATGGGTGTAACTGTGAGGTGGACATTTGCTGCAGCTCTGGCTGTGAGGTGAGGCTTTGAAGAACCCAGGTCTGCACACTGTCAAAAGAAATAAGAGACTAAGCTTTTCCCTGGAACAGATGCAGTGTTTGCTTTGTGAATAATGTCATTATTTTGACTACTATACACAGATTTCATGTAATACCATCCTTTCATTCATTTCAAATTTTTTTCATAAGTTTCTCAATCATAAATAACAGGCTATTCATTCAGATAATCAAATATTTATTTAAAGTATTTAAATCAAACATGATCAGAATATATTTACAATGATTCTTATGTTACAATAAATATTATAAAGATAATCATATGTATTTAAACAAAGTGCTTTGAATATAACATTCATTTATGCTATTATTAAAACAACTTATGTTGAAAAAAAACAAAATTTCCACTATGCTCAGAGAATGGCATGGTACACAATAGTTGCTCAAAATTTTGTTGTTAAATTAATAAGTCAACTAACTGTGTACTTAGTCACTCAGTCGTATCCAACTCTTTGGGACCCTTGGATTGTAGTTCGCCAGGCTCCCTGTCCACGGGATTTTTCAGGCAAGAACACTGCAGTACGTTGCCATTTCCTCGTCCAGGGGATCTTCCCAACCCAGGAACTGAATTCACATCTCCTGTGTTTCCCGCACCACAGGCGGATTCTTTACCCACTTAGCCAACAGGGAATGATAAAACCTTCACAAAATTCTATTAGAATGGAGAGAAAGCATGATTGAGCTAGTATATCATTCACATTACTATTAATATATATTATAATAATTTCAAGAGGATTCAGTCTTCAGGGTTTGTTTTTTTTCCCCCTTTTACTCCATTTTAGAAATTTTCATTGAGATCCTTACTAATCCAACATTCATCTATTCTGGTATCAGTCATGTTTATACCACAAAAATTATAATACTCTACAAAGGGGAAAAATGTGCCTGATTCAATTTTGCATTTACAATACTTATCACAGTGTTTGACTACAGAAAGTATTCACATATTGTTATGTAATGCACACCAGAGTGAATGACATGGCAAGAAAAATGTAACTGAACTACGCAGAATCACATGAAGAAAATCTCTGATATTTTTGTTAAGTTAGTGGTCAGGTAAGTAAATGTTAACAAACTAAGTTTCCTTATTCTGTATTCCCTAAGCTTTTATCTTTCTCTTTCTTCTCAATGAGTAATAAAGCCAAACAAATATTCCGATTGTCCACTATGAACCATGTGAAGACCATAAAACTGATGGTTTGATTACTTTTTTGGAGCTTAGTTAACTTAAAACTAATCAACTATTTATGTTTTTTTTTCCTATTCTAAAAATCCACTATATATACTCAAGAGAATTTACTCAAGCATCAATGAACATTTGCTAAAGCTTAAAAGTAAATTTGTATTTCCATGGAAATTCTGATAGACATAATGAAATAGGGCTAATTTTCATGTGCTATAAATGATTTGGGATTTCAGTAATCCATGCTAAGGCTTTCTGCCATCACCATGAATAATCAGGAATTGACAAAAATGAGAAGGTATTTTTCACTAGATCTAATTATAGCGATAGTAAAACCTAATGCTCTTATAAATTCAGACTGAATGTGAAGGTATTTGAAAGATAAGAAGAGCTTTTTGATAGTATTAGGGACATTCTTGTAGTTAAATGATTAGGAGAAGATTTAAAATATTATTTTTCTTATAATAGGATTGCTGTAGCAGCCAGTACCATTCTTAGCTAAGTTATCCAATTTTTCTTCTTTTATCCTTTTCAGTATAACCATTCTCACTTCAAACATAATTTTCTTTCAAAGACATGAACTGTCAATCCACACATTCTGCATATTTGGAACTCATTTATCATTCATGAAACAAAAGTCATTTCTTTTTAATGAATTCCTTTTAATTTAAAAACTTTATATACTATCATATATAACACTGCTTTTCAATCCTCCATGGGAAGTTCAGAAATAGGAAATGATATAAATGTAAGTAAAAAGTGGAAAATCGTATCCTTCTCTTCAGTAGAGAAGTTGAACAAAATGCTTTCAGCAGGTGGTGAGCCAGAAATTTTGCTTACCACTGGGTTACAAAGGTGAAAAAGATAGATTTGGCCCTGCCTTTATGAGTATTAAAGCCACCGCATGTGTAACTATAAATATGATTATGCAGGAAAGAGAAAGAGCAGGGAAGTGAATATGGACACCTAATTTAGACTGGAATGCCAAAGAACACTTCAGGAAGCTGTCTCCACTGATACGTAAAGATCAGGAAAATTATCCAAGTTGAGGAGGAGTACTGCAATGCCTTAGAGGGTAAAATCTTTTCAAAGGAGAGGAGAACAAGTAGGGAGATGGAAAACACTAAAAAGTTGATCAGGGAGATAGTGGCAACAGAGAGGCAGAGATGATGTTAGGGAAGAAGATACCAGGTCAGAAACACATCATGGTTTGTAATATTTGGAACTTTTAATTAATGGGTAAAATCAGGTCATTACAATGTTGTAAGCAGGGAAATGTTAATAGTAAGATCAAAGTAGTGTGTAAGAGACCATTTCTCTCTAGCATGGGCAATGGATTGACAAGAAGCATGGATGGAGGCATTTGGCCCTTCTGTCTCTGTTGCATTGGTCTGGAAACAGACAAGAGTGGTTCCAATCACTAGTATCACCATGAGTGATGATAGATAAGAGTAGGTAAATTCATGAGATGAATATGAGGTAAAATCAGCAAGATTTCATCATACATTTAATAGATCAGACGTATGAGTGAAAAATCTTAACAATGACTCGAAGGTGTTTGGCTTAAACTTCACAGCCAATACTGGTGCCATTTTCTCAGACAGAGAACACTAGATATGAAATGTGTTTGGGGAGATAGTAATTATGTTTAAAGTATCATTTAATTTGAGGTGGCTAAAAAAATCCAAGTAGAAGTATAGAGAGGAAAACTGTAGGGTTCAATGTATTTCAAGAAAAAATATCAAAAAATCATTAATTATCCATTGCCTTCAAATCATGGCTCTAAATCCAAGTGGGACATGCAATGTTGCTACACAATTGTCTTGTCATTCAATGGCTTAGTCATCTCCAAATCTTCGCAACTCCATGGACTGTAGCACGCCAGGCTTCCCTGTTCTTCACTATCTCCTGGACATTACCCAAACTTATGTTCATTTAGTCGATGATGTCATCCAATCATCTCACCCTCTGTCGTCCCCTTCTCCTCCTGCCTTCAATCTTGGTATTATTTCTTTAGTTAGCATCAGTCCTCAGAATCAGCATGAGTATTCTGGAGCTGTTCCTCTTTCTTCTAACTCCTTTTAAGCTCTATTCCTTTGTGACTCTCATGGTACACGCATGTGTGCTGAGAAATGAGAAGTCATCAGAGAGGAAATTTCTTACTTTTCTACCACCAAATCTTCAAATCTGTATGTACTTGGACCTTATTCCTATTAAAAGGGGAATGTATCTTTGCTCTTGGTAATATGCCTGGTGGCGCAGATGGTAAAGAATCTAACTATAATGCAGGAGACCTGGGTTCTATCCCTGGGTCAGGAAGATCCCCTGGAGGAGGGGATGGCTACCCAATCCAATATTCTTGGGCTGGAGAATCCAGTGGACAGAGGAGCCTAACAGGCTACAGTCCATGGGGTCGCAAAGAGCTGGGCATGACTGTGCAACTAACACATGTCTTTGCTCTTAGCAAATAAAAATATCCTCATTTGAATTGGAGCCCCATCTGTACTCTCTCTTAGAGTCATCTTCCAAGTGTCTACTATCCCTTTTACAAAATCAGGGGTACTCTCAATTGCCCTCTCTCTCTCAACCTCCCCCTCTCTCTTTCTCTTGGTCTCTCCCTTTCTCCTCCCTCCCTCTCTTTGTCATTAACAGGAGCCTGATACAATTTCCAGAACTCTTCAATGGAAAGAAAGTGAAGCAAAAATAAAACACACAGCAACAACACACAGCAACAACACAATCAATCTTGACTTCATTTCTCCCCATAGCAATTAAAATACCAAACAGTTTGGTTTCCATGCGGAACCTAACTTCTTAAATCAGTTTTCCACACGTGCATCTCCAATTCCTCATTCTAAGTCACATGTTGACACACTCCACAACAATACCACTCCCTTTGTTAAGAAGGTAGCCCTCTGGATGCCATACTTCTCCACAGCCTTTGACCATGTCCTCTTTTTGGAAACTCCTGTTAATTTAACTACAAAATACTAGCACAGCCTACAAGTTTCCAACCAATATTTAAGAAACCCTTTAAATTCAATCTCCTATCACACTCACTATCTCCATCAACACTGACTGACTTGCAATTTCCAGAACTTGAGAAACTTCTTTATCTGCCTTTGAATACTGAAGGAAAAGCATTCCAGGTCAAAAGACAAGAAGTGTAGATTGAGAGAACAGGGATGGTACAAAAGGCTTGTAGTCCTTGATAAGAGACTTGCATTTAATCTGAACACATCTGGAAGACTCTGTGTGTATTTATTTTTTGAGGGTGCTCTTTCTGCCAAGCATTGTGGCAGGGAATATGTGTGTGATGATGGGGAAAAAAAAAATGATGGGGGAAAAAAAAATCTACACTATATTCTGAAGCAACAACACATTTAAGAGACAGAAAATAAATAATAGTCAAAAAAAAGTAAAATTTACTTTTTACCTTTTAATCTTGACAATATTCAACAAAAATTATTTAGGTAAGAAGTAAAATTTTTCTAAATTCCAACTTGATATAATTCATTCAAAACAAAGGAAGCTTCTGGAGCAATGTTGTTTCATAGAACTCCTGTACATTACCTAAATATTTGAAAATACTATGCAAGTCCATTCAAGTTGAACAAGGAACAGGACCAAAGAAACACACCCCATGTTAAAATTTTCATGAGGCTATCTTAGCAGTCCTCTGGAGGAATGGAAACTAGTTTTAAAGTTCCTATTCTGTCCATGCTTCAATGCTCATTTTAAGTTCTATGTTTCTAAGATGCTTGTGCTAAATTCATGATTATATGTTTCCTTACACATTCTTTAGACCT